CTGCTAACCTCATTGAATCCTCATACACACACACAACAATGTGCATAAAAACTTGTATAATTCTATAAAAATATGTAACATAGCCTGGCTGATGTGGCTCAGTGGTTGAGCGTCGACCCATGAACCAGGTCAGGACACATGCCCAGGTTGCAGGCTCAATCCCCAGTAGGGGGCATGCAGGAGGCAGCCGATCAATGATTCTCTCTTGTCACTGATGTTTCTATTTCCCTCTCCATTCCTCTCTCTTTAAAATCAATTTTTATATAACCCCAGAACATATAATATATATATATATATATATATATATATATATATATATATATATATATATATCCTATGAATTATTCCTTGGTATAAGAACTCCATTCCTGGGAGCACCACGCTGTTCTTTGATAGTCCTAAAATATCAGGGACAGGGACTAGAGGGGAAGGACATAGCCTTTATTACTTACACATGGGAAGACCCCATGGAAGCCAGGTGGGTAAGTTTCCGCCACACATGCTGCCACTAGTGAAGTTGAACTGCTAAGTCCCATCCGGCCTGCTGACTGGCCACACAGAGGGCGCTGGCCAGTGCCATTGTTTTGCCACCACCCATACTTCCCCAACACAAGATGCTGGGGTCCAACCCCAGCAGGTCCAGGGGTCCCCAAAGGTGTGGACAGAGTCGGCGAAGAAGGAATGACACAGAGACAGCATTCAGTTGATCAGCAGCCTAGCCAGGATCTCTAGCCAAGTTCTGGTCAGGATCTTCAGCCAGGTTCTGTAGCCATGTTCTCTTGCTAGGTTCTCCAGCCAGGTTCTGTCCAGGTTCTCCAGCCAGGTTCAGTCACCAGGTTCTAGTCAGGTTCTTTTGCCATGTTCTATCCAGGTTCTGTAGCCAGGTTCTGTCTCTAGGATCTTCAGCCATGTTCTGTCTCTAGGTTCTGTGGCCAGTTTCTGTCCAGGATCTTTTGCCATGTTCTGTCTCTAGGTTCTGTGGCCAGTTTCTGTCCAGGATCTTTTGCCATGTTCTCTCGCTAGGTTCTGTGTCTAGGTTCTGTGTCTAGGTTCTGTATCTAGTTGTCTTGTTACATCTGTATTTATACCAGTTGATTCCAATCCTATCAATCTCTATTCCAAAGGTTAGGGCGTTTCTTATCTCCATTCCAGGGAGTAAATATTATGTAGCTTAAGCATGATTGTTCGTAGTTAAAGTGATTAATTACCCGCCTGGCACTTAGTTAAGGTGTTTTATTCCCTCCCTAACTTCAGGGGAAAATCCCTACCTGGGGAAACAACCTTTCTCAGAGAGGTGACCTTGGTTAAAACACATAGTGCCAAGAAGGTGAGCAAACATATTAAGAACAGTATGCCATATATGCCAGGTCCCTTGAAACAGCAAGGATGGACCGGCTCCTGGCAACAAGATTTTATAGAGTACAGAAAACAGAGAAAAACGGGTCATACAAGGAAAGGGGGATGTGCTTTCAAGCAAGCTATGTAAGATCCAAACTGCTGGCTGTTTTCTTGACTTGGGATCTGACTAGACTCCCAAGGTCGCACAGTGTAACTGATGGCCTTCATTATATTTCCCACGGGTGGGAGGGAGAGTTGGAGCATGGGAATGGGCCAGTGTTCCCATTTACTAAACACTTGGTCACTACACCTACACCTCAATTTCAAGACTGGATAGGTAAATTGGTGTTCTTTAAAATATATTTTTATTGATTTCAGAGAGGAAGGGAGAGGGAGAGAGAAATGGAAACATCAGTGATGAGAGAGAATCATTGATTGGCTGCCTCCTGCTTGCCCCCTACTGGGAATTGAGCCTGAAACTTGGGCTTATGCCCTGACAGGGAATAGAACCATAACTTCCTGGTGCATAACTTACACAAGACTCAACTATTTTGAGGCATTTTGACACCATATATAAAATGGTAACATAATTTCTGCTAACCTCATTGAATCCTCATACACACACACACACACAAAATGTGCATAAAAACTTGTATAATTCTATAAAAATATGTAACATAGCCTAGCTGATGTGGCTCAGTAGTTGAGTGTCAACCCATGAACCACATAGTGGATAGGCAGACACTCAACTACTGAACCACACCAGCTAGGTAGGGTTTTCATTTTTTATTAACATATTTCTCTAATTGTTTCTGGGCACTTCACATTTCCTGTTAGAGATAAGGCTAGATGAATCCAATACCCACATCTAAACCATTTCAATATAATCTCTTAGCATTATTTTGAGCTAATTTTTTATTGCGTTTAAGTACAACTAGATATTATGTATTAACCATTATTTCTTAATTGAAACAAAATCTCCTATTTTAAAATCTCCTTCTCTGGGTTTTCTAATAAACTGTTTTTCTGTGGTACACTGTTTTGTTCCTTTTATGTTCATACCCTTCATAGCAAAATTTTTTTTATAATCTATTCACCTCTGACCTTGTCTTTCATTTACTTAAACAATTTTATGAATTTATTTTTATAAGTAGGAAAAACTTTATTTCTATCCAATTAAAAAGTATGAATAACCTTCAAGCAAAATAAACAAAAAAAAATCAATCATACAATTAACAGTTAGAAGAGCATTTACAGATTAGGTTTAGATACTTTGAATTAAGCCCACAGACCCAAATCAGGAAGTCCAATGACAGTCACACTGAGGGAAAGCACTGAATCATCTTAAAAAGAATATATAAGCCGAACCGGTTTGGCTCAGTGGATGGAGCGTCGGCCTGCGGATTCAAGGGTCCCGGGTTCGATTCCGGTCAAGGGCATGTACCTTGGTTGCAGGCACGTCCCCACTGTGGGGCGTGCAGGAGGCAGCTGATCGATCTCTCTCATCGATGTTTCTGACTTTCTATCCCTCTCCCTTCTTCTCTGTAAAAAATCAATAAAATATATTAAAAAAAAAAGAATATATAAAAATCAGTAGTATAAATTATCATAAAGCTAGAAAAGCCCTCTAAACCTTGAAAGTTTTAAATTTAAAATAATTTCAATTAAAAAAAACCAACTTTCTCTCTCAGGTGTGAAATCATGTATACCAGAGTACATATTTTACCTTGGAAAATGATGTTTAATACATTTATTATTTAATATGGATAAGCCCCAAAGATGGTAAGTTAAGCCTCCCTGTAACAAAGGCAACGATGTGACTTAACATAATTCTAAATGTATGCTTAGGAAAACATCTCATCCTCCTAAATATAAGTAACCAGTCATTTGTGATGATGCCTTAAAATGGCATTCTGCCCTATTACTCAGCTAAGGAAACCAAAGAGAAAGGTATTATCATCCTAATCTGTTGATTGCATTTTCAGTTAGAATCAGACTATAGCTAGTCTGGATTCATGTGTTTCCATTCCTCTGCAGAGCAGTAGGCTCATAAAATTCTGGTAAATTTGCAACTTGTTTACTGCTTCTTCCAAATAGATGACTCTCATTTCTCTCAGATATTACCCTGAAAAGGCTCTGGGCCGGCTGCCTGCTTGACTGCTGAGAAGCACCCTCCGGGAGGCTGTTTCTGTCTTTGTACTTCTCCACAATTTCCATTTAATCTCTTCTGTAAGAGACGGTTAAAAGTACAAAAAGCGGATAAAAAAAAAAAAATTCTATTAAAGCATCCTAGAAATGGCTTCATTGAGAAGCTATGAGACTTAAATGAGGAATTCTGAGCCGAATGGAGAATCCGACCTTCTCTACAAGGAACTGGGGAATCCTACTTTCGCCACAACACTAAAACCAATTTTGGTGTCATTATTTTCACTTCCCTTTTAACATAAAACTCCCATCTCTGTTCTGCTCAATATGGCCCCCAGGCAATGAAGGATGCTGGTTTGTGGGGGCAAAAACAACACAGGGGCCCCAGGTACCATTGACATCAGGCAACTAACGAATCAACTTCTTAGATACAGAAGCTACATATCCAGTGCTAAATACAAAACTAACCAAGGAAAGTTCTGTTAAGGCATGGGTTATTGAAGAGATCGATCGGCTGCCTCATGCCCACCCCTCAACAAGGGACGGGCCCTGCCACCTGATCAGAAATTGAACCCATGACCCCTTGGTGCACAAGACGAGGCTCCAACCACTGAGCCACAGGGGCCAGGGCAAAGCTCTATTTTTAAAAATTTGAGCCCATTTGGCTGCCAGGTGCCCTTCTAGTGGGTATCTTTATTGTCAGGGCCCACAGGCAACAAAGGCTGGGGTATTTATGAGGAAAGGAAGGGAAGCAATTACATGAACAGGAGTTTCTGTAGATGCAGATTAGCTAACACAGTGATGCTAATTCACGTGTTTAATTTTTAGCCTGGTTTTATTGTCATTTTTGCAAACTATTGTTTGGATGCAATGGTGTTTTAGGCCGAGTCCAAAGGCCATTTTAACAAATTCCAAAGGTTTGAGGAGTAAGATCTGCGAGGATGGCAGCTCAAACTCCATTTTAAAGTGCCTCTGTTGCTATTATTTTAAACACTTTTAAAACAATAAACAACTTACTACCCACTGTTTGATTGATCCAACGGAGGGATTCCTATTGATAGTTATCAACGGTTTTACTGACGTTTGATTTTTCTTTCTTACCTTTTCTTTTTCCTTTTTTTCTTACCTTTTCAATAGGCCTTCTTAGCCATGGAACCAAAAGTGAGATTTAAAAAAGCAATGGAACAAAAAACCCACAAATTTCCAAAATGGTTCTCACTATGTCATCTCTGCGCGCCTCACATCAGGGCCCAGAGCCCAGAGCGCAGCTTTCTGGCCCAAGGGGCTCCAGGCAGCGAGCTCATCCCTGCTCCCGCCGCGCCCTCCATCCGCAAAGCCCGCCCCGCGCGCCCCGGCTCCCGCTCCCCTCCCGGGTGGGCGTGTCCCACTGCAGTGCGCATGTGCGAGCCTTCCGTTTTTCCCCGCCTCCTCCTGCCAGAGATCCGGCCTATCCGGTTCCGCCTTGAAGGCGGGGCTAGCGCCAGCCTAGCCAATGGCGCGCGGGGTGAGGGGTGAAGGGTGGGAGGTGCCCGCCAGCCGGCGGCGCCGGCTGGTTCCTCCGAGTGCGGGCGCCGGGTGGACATGGAGGAAGGCTTGGCAGACGAGCTTGACGAAGAGGAGCAGCTGGTGAGAAAGCAACGCAAAGAGAAGAAGGAGTTGCAAGGTGAGGGGGGTCGTGGCTTCGAATCCGCCTTGTCCCAGACTTCGCCAGAGTGGCCGGTGGGCTACTCCCTTTCGCCTCGCCTTGCCCCGGAGTCTTTGAATCCTCTCATCCCCAGGGGCACCCCCTTCTCGGCCCCGCGGTCCCCTGCCCCGCGCCCCTCGCGTGCCGGGGTCTGAGACCCTCCACGCCGCCCGGGAGAACGATCCCCGCCTCCCTCCCGGTCTCCCTGCCCCGTTCCTGCCCCGTCACCTGCCCTTGGCCCACGTGGGTGCGTTTGGAAGTACCTCATCTCAATTTGGGGGACTCAATAGGGGTGCTGGAAAAGATGGAGACACTTCCGTCATTTTTATTTTTCTTTTGTCGCCCGCCACAGCCAACTCACAGGGTCGTCAATGAGACGTTCTGGAAGGCGGGGGCAACTCAGCTTCTTCCTCTGGCTCCTCTCGGTCCTTGTCGGGTTGCTCTGCACTCACTCTTGTTGCCATAGTTACGTTTTCTCTACCCTCTCCCTTCACCATCCCCTTATTTCTCATTTCCTCTAACCCCTTGATTTTGGGCTTAAAAAGTTTTTGTTTTGTTTTGTTTTTTTCTTCGGGGTGGATTTCCAGCCAAAATTCAAGGTATGAAGAATGCCGTTCCCAAGAATGACAAGAAGAGGAGGAAGCAGCTCACGGAAGACGTTGCTAAGCTGGAGGCAGAAATGGAGCGGCGGCACCGAGAGGAGCTGGAGCAGTTGAAGCTGGCTTCCCAGGAGGGTCAGGTCGGTCTCCCCCCGCCCACGGTGCTTGACAGCCGTTGTCCACATCCACCGCACAAAAGCGTCCGTTTGGAGGGAGATGGAGTCGCCCTGTCAGGCGCAGGCGTTGTTGCCTTCATTCTTTCTGCGGGTCGAGTGTGTGTTTTTGTAAGGGGGGTCCGCAAAAGAAGGGGCACTTTTAACTCGTCCTTGCCCAGAAGACGGACAGATGGGTAACGTGGACTAGAGGAGGCTTCACCCAATGAAAGTTGGAAGGACAGATGTGTGGTCCCCAAACTGCCATTAAGTATGGTTGTAACGTGGGCACAGTTACTTAGACTTTTCCTGGGCAGGCCCTGGCCGGTTTGGCTCAGTGGATAGAGCATCGGCCTGCGGACTGAAGGGTCCCAGGTTCGATTCCGGCCAAGGGCACGTACCTTGGTAGCGGTCACATCCCCAGTGTGGGGTGTGCAGGAGGCAGCTGGTCGATGTTTCTCTCTCATCAATGTTTCTAGCTCTCTATCCCTCTCCCTTCCTCTCTGTAAAAAATCAATAAAATATATATATATATATATTTTTTTTTTTAAAAAAAAACCTTTTCCTGGGCATAAATTTCTCCAGATAGCCTCATACTCTGCTGTTTGAGTAAAGATACTGTATGCATCAAGTGGGACAGTGAGTGTGAAATCACTTTTAAGGTGTAAAAGTGCTTTAAGGACAGGCCGTGATGAAGGAAAATGTACTGGCTTCTTGGGTAAACTGGGGCATGCTGTCCTCATTTTATTATTATAGCCAATAGGTGCTGTGTGCCACCTACTGTGTTGGACGCATTGCATGCAATAACACACGGAGGTCTTACTTATGACGTAAGCACAGGTAACCAGCCCCATTTTCAAGTGGGAAACAGACTCCCCGAGATTAAGAACATTGTCCTGAATTATAGCATCTGCTCAGTGCCAAAGCCAGATGTGAACGTTGAGTTCTGTTATAATTTTGTATCATGGGGTAGTTTATTCCTTGGGTTTTGGATATCAAAGGTCAGACCCCATAACCTCACTCCATTTCGGTAGCCAGGAAGTTCTTTATGTCTATGCAGAATTCTCCTGCCATAATTACATTTTATTTTGTTTGGTTCCTTTTTGGTCTGCTGTTGCCAGGGAAAACAGCTTGTATGTACTGACCTACAGCGGTTGTTATGTTACACGTAGTCTCATTTTCCTTAACTTTATTAGCCAGTCATCAAGATCCGGGCCTTCTGTGCCCTTAGATATTTTATTGGGCGGTCACAAGTTTGGCGCTCCGGGTGTTTGATTGTGTTGTCACAATCATGGTGTTCCTGTTTGTCTCCCCAGCGTTTTAGTGAGATAGTTTTGTTTGTTCTCTCAGGGCTTTCCGTTTTGAAATTTCTTTCCTGGGTTTCTAGGGACAAAAATCTTTGATTCTTAAGCTACATATTACCCAACTGTTCAAATACAAACTGCCATTTTATTTTGGACTACTAACTTTTTCATTAAGTTAAGCTTGTTTCTTTTCTGCAAGCTGCCTGAATTTTGTCATTACTTTCTCTTTTTGTTTTTTTTTCCAGATGCTTCTCTGTATCTTGCCTATTGTCAGTATGGCAATTTATACATTTTAACAGATTCCTCTGAAAAATATAAGAATACTAATTTCACTAAAGGTGATAACCACTCTTTGAAATCTTAATCTGATTTTGATATTTTGGTCATTTGGACTATAGCCTTGGAAAGTTATTAGAGGCACTGAATGTTGTGTGTGTGTGTATGTGTCATACTAAAAACTAACTTCACTTATTTGCAGTAATAAAATACTAGCTACTAATCCTGATAGTTAAAAGGCTAACATCTTTTTTCTCCAGCAAGTACATAATCCGCATTTAATGTTTAAAATTCATTGTAATGTCTTGGTGATATTTATAAGTTAAATTCTACCTATAGTAGATGGGAAAGGATAGTAAAAACTCAACTTGTTCCCAGAGTCAAGAAGCAATGCTCATTAGGTTCTGGTTAATTATGTTAATGCCACATTTGAGGTTAAGAAGGTAGTAATGCACTGAGCCAACACGGGACCTTGTCTATCCTATGGTACTAACATTTAGAGAAGGAAAGGGTGAGTGCTGAATGTGTTGGCCTTTAAAAGCATTATTTAGATTAATGGGTGGGCATGCTAAGATGGAAGAAAAGCATGCAGGGATGAGCATTGTCTTGGAAGGCTAAAAGGAAACTTCTTGTGGATCTTGCAAATTTTCTCTTATAGAGAAAGGAGACAGAACTATGCTATCTAATACTGACCTACTGCTGTTACTCAAATTTGAATTATGGGATTACACATATTTGTGATTTTCAATAATTGCTCTGATACTTTGAATACTAATTTAAAAGTATGTTTTATTAACTAGTTAATGCTTTCTCTGTTTCTTTATTTTATTTTTTTAGAGAGATTTTGATGCTGTTAACATTTCAAACTTGGTTCTTGAGAATCAGCCGCCTCGGATATCAAGAGCACAAAAGAGACGGGTATGGAAGTCTTTTCACCAAGTATTTAAATCAGTGCTGTGTGCTCAGTACTGTCTTACGTGTTATATAAGAAGAGAGTAGGGAAAAAATGATGGAGTTCTTTGTCAAAGGACCTGAACTAACATTCATGAAATTTAACACACTTAACCTACTGAGTTTCAACTTCGCCTAACCTCCCGTAGATGTTCTCAGAACACTTACATTCGTCTACAGTTGGGCAAGATCATCTAACAATGACTGCACTGTGGCGTATGGTTGTTTATCCTCATGGTCACTTGCCGCTGTCCATCATCGTGAAAAAGTATCTTACCACATATTGCTAGCCTGAGAAAAGATCAAATTCAAAATTTGAAGTAAGGTTTCCACTGAATGTGCATGCTTTCATACTATCGTAAAGTCAAACAAATTTAAGTCAAAGCTTCGTTAAGTCAGGACTGTTTGTAACTATCTTTTTTTCTCCAACCTCAGCTCTTGACATTTTTCTCTGGTATTCTAGCTATATGCGCTCTGTTCATCTGTGTGACATATATTGCTTCTGGTTTTTCGTCCTTCCTAGTCCAACTGTTAAGAATGTTTTCTCTTTTTCTCCAGCCTTCTCATTCTACCTCCTATCCATCCTTCATATCACAAATCTCTCATTGACCCCCCCCCCCCTTTGCCTATGCTTTATGGGAAGATTTCTTATGACATTTGAATAAGGAAAGCAAGGTACAGGATGTAATGTATACCATTTTTACTAAAAAAAAGTTTTGGTTTTTTACACATTGTCTATGAGTACATCTATATTTATTAAAATGCAAAGGAGGCCCTGGCCGGGTAGCTCAATTGGTTGGAGCATTCTCCCGATACACCAAGGTTTAAGGTTCAATCCCCAGTTAGGGCACTACAGGAAACAACCAAGAATGTATAAGCAAGCAGAACAGCAAGTCGATGTTTCTCTCTGTCTCTCTCCCTCTCCCCCTTTCCTCTCTCTCTAAAATCAACCAATAATTAATAAATAAATAAAATGTATAGGAAAAAATCTAGGAGGATATACAACAGACCGCTAGAGCAGGCATTGGGATTGGCAGTGGTCCTTAAGGGGAACTTTAATCTTATCTATAATATTTTAATTTTTTATCTAGAAGAATATATCTGTTATGTGAATAAAATATTTGTGTCTGTGTTCACACACACATTTTCTTCAAAGCTAGATACATATAAGTAGAATTTCTGTTCCCTTCTAAAGGCTTTATCATGTTAATGTACCACTGGTGTAGTGGTAAGTTACAAAGCTTGGTATGAGCCTGGTCTTAAATTTGATAAGGTGTGTGTTAAGAACTAGGATAAGCCAGTTTTAAGACAGCACACTGAAGTCAGTAAGTAAAGTTTTTAGAAACTTGGCATGTAGGCATATAGTTTTTAAAAGTTTTACATTTTTCAAGGAAAAAATTGAGGGCTTTTGTCCCAGTACAGAGCTAGGTTCTGAGTATTCACAGGTGAGAAAGGTAGTTTGTCCTAAAAAAGGAGTTCTCAGTATAGAAGATTCTACAAGTGATGATATCAGCAATAGGATAGTGCTTGTGGGAGAAGGAAGAAAAATGGCAAAATGTTTTAAGAATGATATCTTTCTATCTCCTTAATGAATGTAAATTAGTCCTCATTTGTATGAGTTAACTTTCCTACGTTGTCCTCTTCTTAGGATAAAAAAGCTGCATTGGAAAAGGAGCAGAAAGAAAGGATAGCTGAAGCTGAAATTGAGAACTTACATGGAGCTAGACATGTAGAAAGTGAAAAACTTGCTCAAATATTGGCAGCTAGACAGTTGGAAATTAAACAGATTCCCTCGGATGGCCACTGTATGTATAGAGCCATTGAAGATCAGCTGAAAGAGCGGGAATGCCCTCTGACTGTAGCTGCCTTAAGAAGCCAAACTGCTAACTATATGCAAAGCCACATGGAAGACTTTCTGCCGTTTTTAACAAACCCCAATACAGGAGATATGTATACTCCAGGTAATTTATTTCTCTTTAGTATGTCTTGGTGTTGCAGTTGTGGTGGTTATTGTTAAATCAAGGGCCTCCTGAGACTAAGAATAAGAAAAACGGGTATAATCCTTGTGGGGAAAAGATCTCAAAATTTAGGTAGCATTATTTTCTATAATTTTAATACATAGTAGTACAAGTTGCTTTACTAGGTAGTTAATTTTTTGCATATTTAATTATTCTGCAGTTAAAATATATTATTTTATATACGATGCTGATACAAATAAGGTAAATGTTTCCAAAATAACAAGTGGAGGCCCTATTGGATACTACCTTTGAGAAAGGAGTTTCAACACATTTGTGCTTTTACTCTGATTCTCTTGGCACATTTCTTAAGATCTTACGGTGGAGCTGATTTATAGAGGCTACATTTTTATTCTTTTGGCGCATTCTTTCAGGTGCAACTTTAGGCTTTAACGTACATGTCAAGGTAGTGAATAAGTTGACGATTTGGGGGAGTCATTGCTTGGGATAAGGAGAGGGAATTAGGCTTGTTATATAGTTAAGGCCCTTCCTTGGGTCTCAGACTGAGGGAGGGAAGCAGAAATGCTTTGCTCTTGGATGAAAGGTGGTGGAAAATTGTAGTGAATTAAGTTTGGATCTGTAAGTGGACTAAATTCTGGAGAGTGCAGGTAAAGAAGAAGGAAGTTCCAACCTTGAGTAGTTTTATTAGGAATTGTAGAAACTATAAAGAGGGATTTTATAACAAGAGTTATGACAATTATTAAGTGCTATATTCTGTTTATTCTCTACAGAAGAGTTTGGAAAGTACTGTGATGATATTATAAACACAGCTGCATGGGGAGGCCAGCTGGAGGTAAGTTTAAATTGTTCATAGTGGTTGTGGATTGGTAAATTATTTCTAAATCCCAGACATTTTTCAGATGATCTCAGTTTTTCTTTGAAGATGCCTTTTCTTTACTTACTTGCTGTCTCTCTACTGACAAAGCATTGACTTGTAGGAAGGTAACATTTCTAGGCTTGTCAGTATGTACCTTCAGGAAGGGAATTACAGTTTCATTTTAAATAGCCCAGCGTTTGAGCTGTGGTTGGTGAGGCTAGTGTTGTGTCTGCCTTAGTGATTCCATTTGTGATGCTGCTACTGACAAAGTATTTTTTTTTTTTTTTTTTTTTTTGACTCAGGAAAGTTAAGAGTTTACTTAGGTACCGTAATATTTACCCTAGTGGCTCAACTGATGACAGTCAGTATTGGAAAAGTAACATATCAGTTACATCAGAAATAGAAAACAGTATTTTTATTGAAATTACAGGTCAAGCCCCACCACACAAATCTATTACAAATGTGTCCTGAATTCCTAATTGATAATGACCGACTGGCTTGTAAGTGTAAGAAAATATACCTTTAGACACTTGTAGGGATTTAAACGGGATCATTTGTTTTAGTTCCAATTATTTATCTTACTTTGTTAACTTGGTTTTATTAAAATAAAATAAAACACCTAAGTGGTCCAAGATGATGAGACAGCCTGCGTTATTAGAAAGTCAGGAGATGAGAGGGAAAGCTTTGGGTCCTGGCTTCTCCTCCCTCTTCTCAGTTTTGTGACTTTGCAGGAGTTAGTCAACCTGCTATGCTCGAGTTTCCTAATTTTTGCATGGGGATAATAAAAACCCTGTGCATACTGGGTAGGTCATTTGTGGACACTAAATAAGGCAGGGAGTATATGCATAGGAGTTTGTAAGCTAAAATGCCAGGTGGATGAGTCTAGCATTCTTACTAATATTGTGTAGTGACTAGGCATCTTGAATAGTTTGTGGCAGTTCTGAGTATTTCATTTTAAGAGCTATGTTGTCTAGCCCTAGCTGGTTTGGCTCAGTGGATAGAGCATTAGCCTATGTACTGAAGGGTCCCAGGTTCAATTCCGGTCAAGGGCACATGCCCAAGTTGCAGGCTCGATCCCCAGTGTGGGGCGTGCAGGAGGCAGCTGATCAATTATTCTCTCTGATCATTGATGTTTCTGTCTCTCCCTCTCCCTTCCTCTCTGAAATCAATTTTTTTATATATATATATATATATATATATATTTTTTTTTTTTTTTTTCCCCCCGCCCTGGGTCTCTAAAACTCAGGAAGTTTCCATAGTAGCTTTGTCACTATGTAAGAAGTATTAAAGATGCTTGAACTTTCTTATAAAAATCCCAAGTTAATATGAGAATTTAGTGACTCTTTATAAATTCAGAAAAACCTTTTAAAAATCCTTTGAAGGACATTTCTCATAAACTGTTCATTTCTGAATCCATTTGAAATAAGATTTGTTGTGTTTTTTTTTCTTTTTTAAAAAAATATGTTTTTTTAATTGATTTCAGAGAGGAAGTGAGAGGGAAAGATAGAAACATCAATGATGAGAGAGAATCATTGATCAACTGCCTCCTGCTCGGTCTCTACTGGGGATCGAGCCCATAACCAACCGGGAATCAAACTATGACCTCCTGGTTCATAGGTTTATGCTCACCTGAGCAACACTGACTGGGCAGGATTCGCTATTTTCTTCAATGGGGTAAATTTAAATTATGGTTGAAAAAAATTTCTGAAGGCTGGAAAGAGATGTTAAGGTTTTTTAAAATGTTATTTTAGGTATGAGAAAAAAGTGCCTTGGAGGAACATTTTATGATAGAGTATGAAAACATAGAACCTTTTTCAGATTCCTGAAGTAATTTCTTATTTTTGTTTAAAACTTTCTAAAAGGACTACATTTTAGACAGATTAATGGCGCCAATACATAGATCAAGGCCCTACATTAAAGATTTTCAAATTTGTTTATGAACTTCCTCAGTTTGCAAGTCATTTTATTTCCTTGTCCATGACTTTAGGCAGGCCTCTTAACCATTCTCTGCATCAAATTCTAGGTCTTTAAAATAAGTATAATAAAAAAATAAGTATAACAGTATTGTTCCATAAGGTTATGTGAAGATTGATTGTATTACTAACTGTTATTCATCCACTTTAAGTTCTAATTTTATATTCTGTGGTATAAAATTACTTAAACTTGTGTACTAATTAGATGGAAATTCCATGAAACAGTAGTGCAATTCAGATACATATCTCATTCTATTTGCACCTTGAAAATTACTGAGCAGAGGCTGTCAACCCTAGTTGTACATTACAATCATCTGAAAAGCTTTAAGAAAAATAAACCTCCTATTCTGCGCCGTTCCCTCTTTTTCCCCCTTTCCCTCCAAAATTGTAATTGATTTGGCCTGGTGCTCTAACAATGATTTTTTTTTAAACTTTTTATTATGGAAATTTTCAAAAGTAAAGAGTCTATATAATGAGCCCAATCTACCTATTCCTTCACTTTATTTACTATGACATTGATCTTTCTAAGAAGCTATCATGTAGCCAGGGCTTGAAGCTTTCGAATTCGATTTAATAAATATTATATTTGTCTATTAATTTAACACATATGTATTAAGTGCCTCCTGTGTGCCAGGTTCTTAGCGTATAGTGATAAGCAGAGAGAATCCCTGCTCTGAATGATTGCCCTGTTCATGAATACCTCAGTAGTTTGTGATTTCAATAAGATTTATACTTTTATTTATTTTTATTCTAATACATTTTCTTTCCTATAGCTAAGAGCCCTGTCTCATATTTTACAAACACCAATAGAGATAATACAGGCAGATTCTCCTCCTATTGTAGTTGGCGAAGAATATCCAAACAAACCGTTAATACTTGTGTAAGTATCTAGAAATGTCTGTTTTATTTTTCATAATTAAGACAAAAAGGATTATTGAAATATTTTAGGTTGTTAATTAAAAAAACACCTATGCTCAGCAGAATTAAATAAGCTTATTTATGTTAAAGGCAATTGTAGAATTAAAAAGCATTGCCAAAATGTGAGATTTAGATAATTATTTAAATCTATAGTGATTTATTTTTGCATGTGAGTTAATAATAAAATCATTTCTAAAGGTTAGAAAGTTTTAGGATTAGTTTGAATATTGTTCTGAGTTGACATTAATAATGCTAAAAGTTTTAACAAGTGAAAAAACAAATATATTCATGTTGCCTGATTGTTTATTCTTTAGATATCTTTTTCTTCATATTGTAAAAGTATTTTTACATGACTCAGAAGTCTCCTGAAACACAGCATGGAGAGTTTGCTATCGGCTTTAGTGTTTGTTAGATAAACCTACTAAGGTGGTCATTAATGGTTTGGATTAGGTAAAAATTTTAAGCTTACTGAGTACTCAGAATTTCAATCTCCCCCCCCGCCACCCTAATGATTGTGTTTTATTGGACTTAAACTCAGCAGACGTGGTTAAAGATCTTATGCTTTTCACATGCTGTTGAACTTTTTAAGTAATATGCTTATGCAGTTTATTGAATGATACATCTGTGGAGTGATTCATTCAGAGGGCTTGGTGTTATATGCATAATACACGTTTATATACAAAGAATTACCTTCATCAAAACCAGTCATTTTCTTTTTCTTTTTCTTTCAGATATATGAGACACGCATATGGCTTAGGAGAACATTACAATTCTGTCACGTGGTTGGTGAACAGAGTTACTGAAAACTGCAGCTAGTTTACAGAGTGTTGCACAATTATGTTTTTGTACAGTGTGCCGATATGAGTATTTATACCAAGTGCTGGATTGTTTTAAACGTTACTGAAAAAACAACTACTTTAAATCAGTTTTATGGCATAGCTGCTAATAGGTTTTTAAAAAATAGTCAGAGATAAACTTTAACCAGTATCCCCTTACTGGTATTTTAAACACTTGTACGTCCATTGTGGAGAGCATCATTCATAGGCCAAGATGCAACCCTATTTGCTTATATTTTTTATTAATATGGGATCCTGAACATTCTGTTGAAATAAATCTTAATGTTTTATTAAAAGCTTTCAGTAACCATTTCAGTGTAATTTCTCTTGAAGATTGCAATACTGTGGGGATGGTGATAGCAAATTTAATTTATCCTTATAAAGAAACTTGATTGCAGTAACCTTGGTATTAGTGAAATTAATGCTGTGAAGCTTTTTTATTTCCCCATCCAAGTGCAGCCAAGAAGCTTGTTTTAATGATTAAGAATTTTAAAATGTTTTTTCTCAGATGGGAATCAGTAGTTAAAACTGAGACAGATTCAAAATATATAGGTGTTCCCTATCAGATTTAAACCTGTAAAGAATTATAGATTAGCCTTTTATTTTTGTGTCATTTTAAAGGTCCCAACATACTAATGTCTGATTAATTTGTTACTACTTGCTGTTTCTTAAACTTCTTATTTTCAGAACTACAAATGTTTGTACTCTTTGTGGTGTTTTCTCCTTCACTGCTCAGCTGCTTTGCTTTCCTTGCACTTTTTTCCACTGAGAAATGATTTGTGACCTCTTACCCATGAACTGCTACAAGTTGAAGCAGCACTGTCAAAAGTGTCCAAGGCCAAATATACTTCAAATCCTTCCTCTTTCCCAATTTTTTTTACAAAACCTTTCTCTTTTTGCTTCCTTCTCTAGGATTAAAAGAAAGCCTTTTTTACTGTTATTTTGTTAGCCTTTTAATGTCCCCTTTCCGTAACCTGAAGTATTTGAGAATGTTTCTATCACATGTATAGATCAAGCTGAAAGCCACTCTTTAGGAGCCAGACTGTGTAGTACAAATCAATATATAATACCTTTTGGTGTGAATGATTTATCTAGCTCAGATTTCAAGTTACACGTAACAGTATTCCTTCTAAGAAGATAGTACTCATATATACAAATGTGTCTGGTAATTTGATAAAAAAGTATTATGAAAATTACACTTTTTTTATTAGATCTGTCTTTCCCCAATTAGAAAAAGCTAGTAACATTTAGCATGAAGTTTATAATATTTGAATTTTTGCTTTATGAATGCAACTAATTTTTGCAGTTAAATATCAGGTTTATATATTAAAAATGGGTGTCAGTCTCATTGATGATGTGGGAAACTGGTCAACTAGAGCAAGTAAGTACTGCATGAAGGTATTCCATTTCAAGAGATTAAAAGCCATTCTGCTGCCAAGCAAAATACATTCTGAAGGCTGCCTGTTTTGAGATCTGAGTTTTCTTGGGGCTCTGAAATTTATAAAATAATGAAATTATAAAATACTAATCATATTTGCCCTTTATTTTGAAGTAACCTGTTGCTTTAAAATTAAAAGATAAGCATTAAGAAGTAATAAAATAAGGTATCATGAAACCTAGTTATTATAAATTTCATCTACATTTAAAGCATTGGAAAATACCTTATTGGTAACTTTTTTTTTTCTAACAAGATGAGTGGCATTTTCTTGATTATAGGTTTATTTTTAATTTGTATAATTTTTTAAAATTTATCTTTATTATTGAATGTATTACAGATGTCCTCCCTTGCCCCCCCATTGTCTCCCTCCAACCTGTTCATGCCCCCTCCCCAGGACTTCCCCACGCTGTTGTCTATGTCCATGGGCTATGCATATGTGCATATAACTTCATTGGTTTATCTCCTACCCACCACCGCCCCTCTGAAATATGTCATCTTTAAATGGTTGATATGGTTATGAACAGCATTTGTATGGTTAGCTCTGTTTTTTCCCCATAAAACTTTTCAGCGGTTCTCAACCTGTGGGTCGCGACCCCTTTGGCGGTTGAACGACCCTTTCACAGGGGTCGCCTAAGACCATCCTGCATATCAGATATTTACATGACGATTCATAACAGTAGCAACATGACAGTTATGAAGTGGCAACGAAAATAATTTTATGGTTGGGTCACAACATGAGGAACTGTATTTAAAGGGCCAGAAGGTTGAGAACCACTGCTTTAGATAAAAATCATTTTAGCTCTAACCTAAAACTGAAGTATTTAAAAAATGGTAGATGTTAATTTAAAAGCAGATATACTAATTTCGTTTGCTGTGTAATGATAATACAGTGGAAGTTTCATAAGCTTTCTTTTGCTTTAACTCAAAAAGTATGTCAGAATTCTGGAATGTGCTAAGTCAAGAATTTTATCGACTTAAATATGTTTACAACTTGTATAAAGCAAGAAAGAGTGTGTATAACTATAGCGAGCAGTATAGTTTTGTTCATATTATCTGTTTGCCAAAAGAAGAATAAAAGATGAATTCAGTAAACATTTGTTTAAATTGTTATTCGTTAACAACTTTATATTATAGAAATAGAGAAAACTCAGTTTGTTTTAGAATTATATCTAGCCTATCTAGTATATTGTCCTCACATATAATTGAAAATAATACAATAACATATTCTTGCATTTAAAAGATTTGGAATAAATATATTATGCCCCAAACAGAATGAGGGAAGTAGTGAAATAATAGCCATTTAAGGCATGGTTCTTGGAAATCAGGTTGGAATTTTGGAAATTTTAAAATAAAGAAGGTTTATTTAGGCCTTTGGGCAAGTGACTTGAATATTCTCAGACTGGTGGTTGTTGAAGAAAAGACAAATGAATAATTAGTGTGCAAGAATGTGAAGCAGTAAGAAGGAAGTTTGTGCAAATTAATGCTGGCACAGATTTGTTAATATATTGTCTTGGTACAAGTTGTCATGAACTAGGTAAAGGAGCCGATCAGTTGTTTTTTCTGAGAATTTAATTAGCAATTTTATACTGTTTTTGCTTATTGAACAAATGAGAGTGTTTTTTCTTCCTGTCAATTATGTTTTAATAGTTGATTCTTCTACTTTGCCTTGTTTAAAATAGTCTCTTTGCATCTTGTAGAAATAATAGAACTCGTGGGGTTTCTAATACTTTTTTCAAGGTAAGGTTTAGGAAGCAAACAAAGTTCTTGTCCTTTCCCCCATTGTTTTTCCCTTCTACTTGAAGGCCTTTGAGCTGCCATTCAAAGTTGAATATTTCACCCAACCTGCTTCATCTAGCTTACTGTCCTCCTGTCTTCAGCTTAAATAGCACTTACCTTGGCAAGCTACCCAGAATCCTGCCACCCAGGTGGGTAGGAACCCCACTTAATGCATATTTCTAATGACTACTCACTTGAAATTAGCTATTGTATTTAGTTTGTTATTGTTGCTTATTATTGCTGTTATCTTCTCCTACTCTTTAAATGCTTAGAAATAACTTGCTCACTATTACAATATTCAGCACATTGCCTGGCCTACATAGTAAGTGCTTAATAAGTGTTGACAGAGTTAAGATCAGTTGAAAGAATAGTATATGACTAAGGAATTGTCATTGGGTTAATGGACTATTAGGAGAAGTGAGAGATACTGACATAATAGTGTTTCTTCATAAAAGGGCTGCTTTCTAATTTACCTTGCCTTTGGGTGAATTCTTAAAACTTTTGGTCTTTTGTGGAATGGAAGTCAAGAGAGCTTTCTTTTTTCTTAACTTCTGATAGTGTGTTACGGTTAATTTATACCTTCATGTGTCAGTTAGGACAATTTGATTTTAATGAATCTGTTAAATATAAAGGTCCTTTAAAATAAGTGTACATACTAAAAATATATTAAAAAGGTTGTTAATATACTTACCATGAAGTTTATAGTTGTCTTATTTCATTATAATGGTATGACTGTATGTCTTATTGAAACTCACTGCCTTTCTACAAGATTGCTCAATATATCAATTCTTAAAACAGGGATGACTTATAACCCTCCTGATTTTTCTTCTTTCACTCTTGTCTTGACAAAAGGAAACACCTATTAATGTTTGTAATCTTTACAAATACAGTATCAACATGGGGATTAATGAGAGCCTGAATGCATGAGTTTGATGAGCAAAAATAACGACCTTGTCTTAACTTACTGTTTTTAAAACAGGCTTTTCTCCCCCCCATAAAGTCAGAAAGGCTTTACACACCTACCTCAGAGTGTTTCTCCACAGTGACACTATTGGCTTTGTGAGCTGGGCAATTCCTTGTTGTGGAGGCTTCTGCGTATTATAAGATGGCCAACAGCATTTCTGGTCTGTACCAGCTCAGTGCCAGCAGCAGATGTGCGGGGGGGATAGCTCCACACATTGCTATTCATTTAACCCTGTGGTTTTGAACTATTTATCTTCAACCAGTACCTGTGTTTTAGCCTCCACTACTCCAATGAATCTGCTTCTAAAACTAGTACCAGTGACCACTTACCTGTCCTTATCTTCTTTCTGCTGCATTTCACAGTAGACTGCTCCTTGGAATTCTCTGACTTTTCATAACACGCCTTACTGGTTCCTCCTTCTTAGTCTCAGTCATTGTTCTGGGCTGTGCCTCTTCCTCTTTCTTTCAGGTTGTTACCCTGGATCGTCTTTTCCTCACTCTACACCAGAGCTTCCCAATGAGAGGACTGAGTGTGTCCCAGAGGTGTATTTTACTTGGACCATTAAGTGATTTAAAGAAAAAAAGGTCAGTCAGTTGGTAGTGTTTAAGAACTGGAAGATTTCACTTAAAAGCCATATTTCTGGGTTTTTTAAAAAAATTAGAACGGTCAGCACCACAGGGCCAGGACTTGGTCTTGTCACCATTCACCACTTCAGGCTTTAGACAGGGCATGCACATTTTCTGTTCATCTCCCACCACTCCTACCTGGCCTGCTAACTTCCATTCCATGCCTCGGGTAAGAATGCCCATTTCCCGAGCCAAAGTATTGTTTGGCATCTTCTTCTACCACTCCCCTTTCTATTTCTCTTTTGCTTTCATTCTGTCCTTCATTAGACTTTGTAGATGATTAGTTATCTTATTGGACCTGGCTTTACCTCACTGTTCTATTTTTTCACTGTGTATTTCTACTTTTAATTTAATTATTCTGTTTTCTTGTTTACTTTTTGCAGAAGCTTCAAAAAACGATGTGTGATGTATATGCATCTGTGCATGTGTAAGTAGAATCTCAGAGGTTCATCCAACCTAGTAGTAATCAAATATTGGCCTGGAAGTTGAAACCATTGGCAAAATAAGAAAATTTAAGTGCTTTTACTTGCCAAAAGTAAGAGTTGGTAGCTGTATTTTTCATAGATTGCTTCCTGTTTTAAAGTCTGTGAACCCCTAAAGTATTTCTAATCTCACGACCAACTGAGAATTCTTTGTAAAACGTCTCTGACAGATGTCACCTAGCCCCTCATACTGAGAGTGCACTCAGGTATCTAAGCAGATGAAGTAGTGATTAATAACAAGATAGAGTATGCAGGTGGCTGTAGGGAGACAAGGCTTTGGCACAGAAGGCATATGTTAGCACCTTGTATTAGTCCCGAGAATAGAGTTATGCTTTCATGCTTGAGATTTGTTAACAAAACAGCAATCTGAATTTAAATGTCTATGTGAGGTTGTACAAAAGAAAACATAATTACTGTTATGTAATGAGCATTTACTGTGCTAAGCAGTGTGCTAAATGCTTTACATAAGCAAGCTTATTCCTCACAGAAGGCAGGGGTTGGTATAGTCATTCCTGTTTTATAGCTAATGGGAATGAGACTCAAAGAGGTTGAGAATGAATAACTTACTAAGCCCATAGGGTTATTAAGTGGTGAAGCTGCCCCTAGAAGGTGGGTCTTTGAGGATCCAAAGCACTTTAAATCAAAACTTCCATTTCCAAATATAAAAAGAAAACCAAGAAAAACACAATATTCTTCTTTATTACAGGAGGGAATTTCTACAGATTTCTAATACATGAAGTAACTGCTCATGTTTGAAAACATTTACCACAAGTCAGAGCCAATTTAATCACAAAATAAGCTTGCCAAATAAAAGTCTAAAGGTGAAGCCAAGGGCTTGAATAGAAAACCCTTTGTTAAATTCTGGATATATGGGAACAGATAACTTGTCTTTTTAGTTCATAGGCCTTCAGATCAAGATACCTGGTAAATGCTGCATTTTTTCCTTGATCAATTTTCAGACTTATGAATTGGTTCCCTAGAGAGCCCCACTGTAATCAGTGAGTTTCTTTTCTTTTAAAACTACCATTATGAATCCTTACATGTTCATGGACCAGGCCACTGTCGATTATTTTTTCTGATCCTCAAATTTTCTGGTTTTAGACCAGTGATGTTCCTTATAAGTTGGTGCTAATGTTCTTGGATCTGCTTAGTCTTCAATTACTTCCATGTCTCTGGCATAAGATATCCTCAGCTCATCTTGTACATTTTCTACCCCAAGCCTGGAATCAGCTATTTCCCCTCCCTACCTCTTACTCAGGAAACTGCCTGATGCCTCCCACCTACTGCATGATAGATCTCAGAATGTTTTTTGTTTCCATGACACAACCATTCTGCAATTAGAGATTGTAAAGGTACCAAATAAGGAACTTAACCCCTAATGTGTACATTATCCTGTTTCTATCTCCAGCTTCATGGAAGAAAAGTTGTTCCTTAGAGCAGTAAAGGGTGGTAAAAACACTAAGATCATTACCTTGAATGGGAAGAAGATGACAAAGATACCCTCTACAATAGGAAACCTGCCTGGCCTGAAGGTTCTAAACCTTCAGAAAAACCTAGTCTCCAAGGTGTGCTCAGAGTTAAGCACCTTGACCCAGGTGAGGAAGAGTTCATCTTTTTGGATTAAGGATCAAAGAGGTGAGAGAACAGTTGGCTTTGATATGTAGAGATTTGGTTTCTTGAACACTTCCTGTGGATCCTTGTTAGAGA